TACATGGCAATCTCAGCTCTCTGAGGGGTTGGAGGGGGACTACATAAGTGATATGGGCAAGCCTGTTGCTGAACAACCGCAGAGTCAACAGCCACAGAGTCCGTGTCAGTGTCGCTGTGTTTTGTGTGCAGACATGTGATGCGCATGGTGTGCGGAGCATGGTCATCATATCCCTGGAAGGATCAAGTGGTGCTCGCAAGTACATCGAAAGTGTCTGTGCTGCCGCCGAAGGAGGCCGGGACAACTATGGTTTCAGGATCCTGCAGCAGTTTGATGAGATTTTCCCGTGTCATGGCCCAAGCCTCGGCCAGGCGCCTCCGACAGCTCCGAAGATGCCCAGTGCAGTCCTGCCTCCACAGAGGAAAGTGGGGCCTGAGGTCCCGCCCGAGGCGCTACAGCCTCCACCCCAGGCTCGCCATGCGCGGTTCTTCCCAAACGTTTCTAATTCGGGCAACTCTGCCACTGACCAGTATGAGCCAGGAGCCACCTCCTCCAGCACCGCCAGCACCTCCCGCTGGTTCAGAGGCCCAGCCAGACAACAGCTTGCTACTGTATAGTAGTATAGCAAGAAGCATGATGAGTGACGAAGCATGTATATTCTGGGTCTGGGTGGAGGCTCGGTCGCCATTGCTCGTGTTGCTCAAGGATCCATGACAAGTCTTGCGTGCCAAATTTGGATCTCCAGAGTTGCGAAAGGGAAGTTGCCAGGGTCCCATGAGCTGATGCGGCTGGTGTGCAGGCTTTGCGAAAGCCGGAAGCAGACGAGAGTGGGCCACCAAGCCTGGATTTGGCCTCAGTTCATGCTTGAGTAGTCCGGCATGCGGTATGCCAGAGGCGAGAGCTGCTTGCGGCTATGGGATGCTATGGACATGATAGTACAGCTCAAAGACAGTTCATCACGCACGAGGTGTCCACTCCATCGCCGCATCCGTTGCTAGACCCTTCGAAGGCAGCGGGGGTCGTGTTTCTAGCGTTGCCTCTCTCGCCTTTTCCTTAGCTTGAGCAGGGGGCCGTGCGGGTAGGTTTCCGAATTTCGCGAGGCCTCTGCTGTTAAAGGAACTCACCTCGTTAGCGGTCATTTGTGGTATTTTCCAGACTCTCTCGTGGGTGCCTTGGGAAAGTAGTGCGATGGACAAGGCATGACGTGGAGGCTGGAGGACTTTGGTGCAGTGCTGTGGTGAAGCAGATCTCGTGACAAGAGTCTTTCAAGAAAGGCTCGGGCTCAGGCTTAACACGAGAATCCCAAAGAAGCATCAGACAGCACAGTGAAGATCGGGCCTAGCTGAACATCAGGGGATATAGAGCGTAAAGCTCCGAACGCGGGAATCGCCGATGGGCATGTGCTGCATGAGTTTGGCTTGCGTGGCGCATGGCTTTTGCCATTGGAAGTCTGGCTTTGTGGCTGCAGGCAAGGCCGAGCATTCCAAAGACGCCCCCAAAGGCACCGGCTGATTCACGCTGCACATGACCAATCGAAATGGACGAACATGGTGCAGACACAAGCCTATCATGCAGGCTCTTTGATGCATAACATGTTCCGAAGGCGAAGTCAAGTTTCCCAAAGCGAAGGAGTGATCCAGGCCACTTGCGCTTGTCCTAATTTTAACGCTACGCGACCCGCCTCGGCCCGGCTTAGCGCATCCGGGTGAGCATGGTGATTCCGCAGCGCCCAAGTCACTGGACCCCAAGCAATAAGAGTTGGGTTTAGGGTTTAGGGTTCCGGGTTTAGGGTTTATGGTTTATGGTTTAGGGTTTAGCGTTCAAGGTTCAGGGTTTAGACGGTTCGGCTTGGACAGGATTCGTAGGCTTCTTGTCGCTGTTCTTCTCGTGCACGTATTTTCTCAGTTTCGCTGCGCCAGTGAGCCTGCCCTGCCACTCTTTGCGCTGACTGTGCTGACTCAGGGGATGACAAAGTTGATTCCTTCTTGGAAAGACTCACTGGAAAGGCCCGGGCGTACTGTTCAAACTTTCAGCTTCAGGCTGACACCGCCCTGTTGCCTTTCAAAAAAGTAAGGGTGCTGTTCAACCTTGCAGGCACCAAAGCATGCCGAAGCTGGCAAAGAACAGCTGGCATCTTAGCGCACTTGCAACTTTGGGGACCAAGTCCCCAAGTGCCAGGAGGGAACGATAACAGCCTTGCTCGGGAATCGCCACAAGTCTTGCGACAGTGGCGCGAACCCCCAGGCACTGGCAACAATGGGACGACTGGAGGCGGCGCATCAGGATTTCTTGGTTGAGCCTTTCACATGATGTGCTGCGTTGAACTTCTTGGTTTTGTTTCTGTTCACATCCTGCTCAAGCCATAATTTCCATGACATGAGAGACGTCATCTTGTACTCCACTGATGCTGTTGTGGAATGTATCAGTGTTGAGAGTTCGTCAACTGTCCCCAGGTAGTCTATGTGTTTATGATTTCTGTGTAGGCTAAGGGTTTTCTGTACAGTCAACCGTGCTGCGATGGGCAGCATGGGCAGCGCGCTCTGGAGCAGGAATCGGAGCTGTCTGATCACCGAGTCCAGGCAGAACTCAGATTTGTAATGATTTGGCAGATGACTTCAGAAGCAGCTTGGCGAACCTCGCGCGCGCGGGGGGCAGCCATCTTGAACTCTCGAGCCCACAACAGCTAAGACCCTCTCCAAAGAAGAACCGCCCGAAGCTAATCGAACGAGGTTTTGATGTACCCCTAGAAGCAAGTCAAAACCCCTAGAGCCTCGCAGCCGTGACCTGCATCCCTACGGATCTTTGAGATATCTTGGTACTTTGAAAGAGTTACATGAGCTGCACACTCTGGATGCTTTTCCTGTCATCTAGCTTACTACGACTTGGTATCCAAGAACCATCTCTTCCAAATCGAAGCCCAATGCATCTGAAGCTCAGGGATGGGTGAAGCCTGTTGATGGAAATGCACTCACGAAGAAGGAGATCAAGAAGCTGAGGCTGCCAATCTTGGGGTTTGCAAGGGGCTTGTTTGCAGCTCAGAACAGAAGCTCAACCCCGCATTTCCAGCAAAGCCTTCCCAGACAAGGGCGGCGCCCAGAAAATCTTGAACAGTCGACTATGATACCACGGACTCAAACCCCCCGAGAAAGCTACCGATGTTGGGGAACGCCCATGCCTGGATCAACCGGGGGCTGGCTTGGTGTCCAGGAAGCGCTTGCCTGGAAAACTGGTAGATCTGGTACATGAGTTCGCGTGGGACCCGCGCCGCCACGCCGATATTTGGAGTTTGAAGGCTTCGGGATGAGTGGAAGGCAGGGGCGCTCTCAGGTGGTTTTGGCCAGCAAGGACCGAGGGGTTCGAGGAGTTTTGCGGAGCAGTGGCAAGTTCTTTCAGAATTAATCTCCCCCAATCTCCCTTAGCTCGAAGCAAGTTTCCATGCAATGTCCGCTGTAAGCTTGTGGTGACCCGGTACTCGAGAAGCACTTGCTAGATGAGCCCCTCGTCTGGGCTTGGGTTGGTAAGCTTGCTGGGCCGAATGGGCTAAATCGGGTTCCACAAGCCCACTAGAAGTCTTCAGTGCACTTCTAGGCCTCAGACGGACCCACCACATGCCTTTTGGTTGTTTGCACCTGAAGCAAGGCTGCCAAAGACTCTTCTTCAAACGAACTCAACCCTCACTTTCCCAATGACCGCTGCAGTAACTGCGTTCATTTCCCAAGACGTCCGCTGGTTCTGGTACTTCCGCTGTCTGCATGGCATAAAAAAAAGTTGACATCGGTTTCTGACAGTAGCACGTGTCAGTGTGACCCCGAACGGCCCTTGATTGTCTTTCTTGGGCAGCAAGCATGTGACCGAGTCTCTTCTCTGTGCTCAAGGTTTCAGGGAGGATGCCACGAAAGAGCCTGAGCCTGACTGCGTCGAGGAGAACATCGGAGATGGTACCGTCATCATATCGGAATCGCGTGCTTACAAGGAGACGTGCGTGCGTGATGCAAAACTTCCAGGAGGGTTGCAAGGGCTTCTGCCCACTTGTGGCACATCCCTCGAAGGCTAACTCCCTCTGTCAGTGCTAGACTCTGCTAGACCGCACCCCGCTCCCTGGGCCCGTCAGCGGAGGTTGGTCGTTATTGCGGAGTTTGTTTCTTGGTGTGGTTTTTGTGTCGGGAGTGCGTATGTTTCTGCTCCCTTTTCTTTTTGTTTTGTCGTTCCATCATTCATACAAGAATTGTGCCGCCTCCCGAACCCCCTTCTTTTCTGCCGTACAAGCTAGCCCTGCCATCGCGAGGAGTTCTGTCGGCAAAGCCTGCGAAATCTTTAGTTCGATATGAGCACTGTGCTTGCAAATGGGAGAGGGTTGTGTAAAGAAAGAAAGAAGCGAGGCAACTGCAGAACAGGAGGACAGACATGCGAAGCTTGTGGTTGCAAAGCGGGCCTCCAAAGCCCGTGTGCTGTCCTGAAACCAGTGCTCAGTCATGCCACTCCGATAGAACAGTTGAAGGTGACAAAAACCTTCAACGAATCAAACGAGCTATTCAATCACTGGGAAGCCGTTGCTCTCCAAACATGCGGACGATATCTCAAGCATCACAAGCAAAATGGCAAACATCAATACTGAAGATAAAGATGATAGTCAACTTCTCAATCGCAGAGAGTAGGGTTTAGGGTGTCGGCCGTCAACAGGAATTGCTCGTCATGATAGAATGGTGTTTACAGCTGTGCTCGTGGAAATCGAGGTTTCCTAGTAACAAAGTGGAGGAAGCAATGGTTTTCCTTCGAAGGTATGACGGTCCATCCCCATTTCCTACCTCCCCCCACCAAACAATAACGCAACAACAAGTCTAAGAACAACAACAAAACTCCACGCTTTGCGTCGTTTCCCCAGTTTTCTGGAGAGGGAATGTCGTCAAAGTAGTGCCGGCGACGACCCCAAGCGGTATGAATGGAAAGATGTGGAAGCGATTCTATAACACAAGCTTCTGTTTTGGATTCTAGCCAATGGAACGACGTTTACAGAAGCTCGCGTGCTCAAAGCATAGCATTCGGATGTTTTTCCACACAGC